CTTTGTTGAAAATTGGATATTTGGTTACAATGTAGTAACTATGAAAATCAGATTATCAACTCTATTAGTTAATTTTCTTGTTGTGACCGACTTGACAGAGCATTTAAGAACAGATAGATTAATTTTGTTTCTTAGTTTCAAAGAATGCAATCAATAATACTGAGGAAGGTTGTCTTGAACCTTAAAGTCAGGAATACGAGGTGGAAATTCTTCATAGTTTTTGAACTTGGAAACTAGGAGCTAAATTACAATGAAATACTTGAATAACTGCTTATAAACTGTTATACATACAGAGATTATCCCAATGTTAAAAACTGGTATATTCTTGGGGTTTAATTTTTGTCTGTGTATTCATTGTCATTATTATGGGAGGCACAGATTCCATAGCTTGTATATAGACAACTTTGTGGAGATGGTTCTTTTTCTACCTTCATGTGCTTTACTTGTATAAAATGCAGGTTGCTAGACTTATGTGGCTATGTCTTTACCTTCTGGGCCATCTTGGTGGCCACTTGTCTGGTCTCTTTCCAGAACATGCATATCAATCTTCAAGTTTAGGTATAAATGTAGCTAATTTTGAATGACATAATTTCCAAAAGAGATTCACTGTATCTTAGTTTAGTATTGTATATACCTACACATAGTATGGTGGTTTGAATAACAGACCCCATAGGCTCATATATTTGAATGCTTAGTCATTAGGGAGTGGCACTATTTAAAAGAATTCAGAAGTATGATCTTAGAGATAGTGTGTCACTGAGGGTGGGCTTTAGGGTTTCAAAAGGTCATGTAAATCCTAGAGTCTCTGTCCTTTTATGACTATGGATTATGATGAAGATCTAAGATACTGTTCTAATATTTGCCTGAGTGTTTCCATGCTGTCCATCCTGATGATAATGGACTAAAGTTCTGAAAATTATGCAAGTCCCCAATGAAATGATTTCTTTTGGTCATGATGTCTCTTCACAGCAATACAACACTGACTAAGACAGTCTATTTTTCTAGGTGTTTGTGGGTTTGTACATCACCTAGTAGCCTCAAGGAGCAGTGTTTAACACTTCTTCCATCTGGACTTAAAGACTTAGAAGCAGGTACCTACACTTATTTCTTCAGATGTCTCCTAGACAACCTAGAACAGAGAGAAACTGTGATTAAGTTCTTCGTTCGTGGTTCAAGAGAGAGAACTGTGTTTCCACCTACTCAACACTATGTGTGATACTCTACAAAGCAGAGAAAGGGTTGGTTTCAGACAAGTAAAACACTAAAGATCTTACTCACTGAAAGTTCTTTTCTTTTTAAATTTTATTTTTAACAAGTACATAAAAGTACTAAAATTATATATATTGTGGAGCTTAAACATAATGTTTATCATAATGCTGTGTCAGACTTTTCATGACTACGACAAAATACCAGACACAAACAATTCAAGTGAGAAAAGGTTCATTTTGGCTCATGGTTGCATTAGTTTCTAGCAGTCACCAGCCACTCCACTCCCTTTAAGCCCATGGTCAGATGGGATCATTGTGGAGGAAGGACATGACAGAAGAAAGCTGTTAACATTGAGGCAGCAAGAGTCAGGTAGGGTGAGGGGGCATTAGTGACCTACCTTCTCCAGCCAGGCCCCCACACCTAACATTTTCATCTCCTCTGAAAATAGCAATTTAGCTTGGGACCAAACCTTCAACAATATGAGCCTATGGCTAAATTTCAAGCTCAAATAATAATTCATGTATATAGTGCATGTTGTTTAAATTATGTTAACATAGTTATCTTATCAAATACTTATTACTATTGTATATTTAAGGTATGTTTTTAGTCGAAATAGAATTTTTTGGCTTTATTTCTTCAGCCTTATTTAATAATGGTTCAGGCTGTTTCTGTGTTGTTTTTAGGTGTGTGTGTGTGTGTGTGTGTGTGTGTGTGTGTGTGTGTGTTGTAGGAATGTATATATGTGAGTGCAAGTATCCATGGAGTCCAGGAGAGGACATCAGATTCCCTGGAGATGGAGGTACAAGCATCTTTGAGATCCCTTATGCTGGTGCTGAAACCTGACCTCTAGTCCCCTGTAAGAGGACAGGCTATAAACTGACAAGTTTCTTCAGCCCCCACAATGACACAATATATATATTTGATATAATGTTGATTTATATATAGTTATTAAGACATCATAAGCCCTATGTATCTTAGCTAATCTCCACTTATGGTAATATTTTGCCCAACTACAATACAATATCCTATTTGTGATTGATGTAGCCACAATATAGAGAGTGCCCTCATCTCCAAAGGTTTTTCATATGCCCTCTCGTTTCCACAGTTCCTTCCCAAGCTCACATCTTCCCCTGTCTTTCCTCCCATGAATCTATTGTCTATTTCTAAAATGATGTCCTCTTAAGGATGACCTATAATGAAATCATATGGCATGTAGCATTTTGAGATTAGTTTCTCTGGCCTGCTTAATTGTCTGGAAATGTACCTGCCTTATCATATATCAGTATTTCATTTCTGTTTATTAAAGAATATGATTCTATGGCACCAATGTTTCACAGTTAAGTTTTACCATTCACTCATTAAAAGGTAGTTGGGATGTTTTCACATTTGTCAACGTCTAGGTTAAGTGTGGTTTTTGTTTGTTCGATTACTTGCTTTTTCACAATAGGATTTCTCTGTGTAGTCCTGGCTGTCCTGGAACTCAAGCAGTAGGTCAGGTCTCTGAACTCAGAGATTTGCCTGCCTCTGCCTCCTGAACACTGGATTAAAGGCGTGCACCATCACCACCTAGACCCGGGTCAAGTTTTTATATAACAAAAATTTCTCATTTCTTTTGGATGAAAATTCTGGAGTACAGTCACTGGGATCAACTGACAATGTGTAATTGACTTTTTTCCTTTTTCCCTCCCTCTCTCCCTCCTCCCCTCCCTCCTACCCTTTCTTCCTTTCTTACTGTTCCAGGAACCCCCCAAAATAAACTGTAAATTTTATTAGCCTATTTGTCACCTGGCAGTTTTTGGTGTTTAATTTCTGCAGTAGTCCACAAATTTTGGTTATTAAAACCTGTCTGAGTGGAGCCAATAGATTTTCCCAATCTTTATACTTTCTTCTTGTTCTGCTTATAGTCTCTTTTGCTGTGTAGAAACATTTTAATTTCATGTAACCTCAAGACAATTTCCAGAGACATTAAAGCAGTTGCTGTTTTATTACAGTTTCTTATAACTTGGGAAAAACATAGAATTTGTCTGTGAATATCTGCACAATTCCATGCTTAGGCTCACACCAAGAAATATACATACATATGAATTCACATTCATGAGTATAACCAAATGTGGACAGAAAAGTTTGAAAAAGCATTGTATTTGTGATGAACATGAGAAAGATTTGCTTTCTAAGCAATTCATTATAACAGCTGTTTACTTTTTAGATAGCCTTAGATATTGCAATTCAGATGTTATATAAAGTGATTTGGAAGACATGCAAGCATGTTCTATACCATTTTTAAGAAGGACTTGAGCATCTATAGATGGAAATCAACTTAAGGGAGAGGGATATGTTCTAGAATGAATGCTCTAAAGGACTACAGGACCATTTGAGACATGCATGTAATGGTTACAGCATGGTGACAATTTGCAGGAAACAAAATTATATGAAAATATAGAACACATAATGGCTTTTGTATGTGATATTCTAAACATTTCTTCTGTTTCTTTTACCAGTTATTTATTTGCTTAGACTTTCTATTTCATTGATGAATCATTCTATTGCAATTTCAGATATACTGGAAATAACAAAAAGACGTACCCATGACAATGAAATAGAAAGTCTCAGAAACCTTTATCAGAGAATTTGGAAGGTTATATTATCTCAAATAACCTATGTTTGCTTTGAAATGGGGTCTCACATATGTATCCCTGGTTAACCTGGATTCACTAAATAGATCAGGCTGGCCTCAAGCTCACATAACCTAGTCTACACAGAGAGTTCTGAGCCAACAAGGGCTACACACACTTAGATCCTGACTCAAAAACAAAACAAATAAAAACCAATCAAATAAAAACTAAAAAACAAAACTCATAGGTCATTACGTTGTAAAAACAGCATAGATAAACTCTAAAACATCTTCACTTGATATAACAGATATGAAGTTATTCACACACACAGAAGAAATGTTAAGTATGTTTCTGAAAATCCTGTAAAATAGTACTTGGTAACCATGCTTTTGTAAAACTACATATAAATGATCATATAGTTTACAAATAAGTTTCATTAGTGGTCAAAATGAATTTAGGTTAAAACTTTAAATACAATTATGAATATTTAGTAATTAATATATGTGAGAAAATATGTCTTTCTTCCTTTTCTTTTTTTGATAGGGTTTCACCATGTAGTTCTAGATGGCCTGGAACTCACTATGTAGACCCTAGAGATCTACCTGTTTGTGCTTTCGCACCGAGTGCTGGAATTAAAGCAACACACCACCATGCCCCTCCGACTAAATCATTTAAAAGACAATGATCTAGAGACTATTTAAGCATATCTTTAATTTTCTCAAACCCAGGTGTAATACTGTACGATTATAATTCAATGAAAACATTGCATTACATACTCGCAAATGACATCCAAACTGCCTTGGATCTTCAAATTATGAAATTTATGAACGACTGAATTGAATGCATTGCAAATAAATACAGAAACTACTTTGAAAGACCAATGAATGGTTGCAAAATCCACATTAGCCACATGATGTCGCTGTATACCATAAAGTCTTGAAGCTGGAAATGAGGTACTGATAAAACCGAGGGGAGGAAGCTTCGTCATCAGCCGAGAAAAGACAAAAATGGTGAGAAGACAAATGACTGAAAACATGAAGTTACAAAATACGATTTCGGAGTGACAGCGGTAAGAAAGGTGCAGTGCTTTTGCGATGCTGTTTTCCAGGCTCCGAGGCCTGAGAGCCCGGCGCCTGCTCTTGCTCTCCCTTCTGCTCCTCATTGACTGGCAAGCGGGGAGCAGCCAGCTCCATTACTCCGTCCCCGAGGAGGCCAAACACGGCACCTTCGTGGGCCGCATTGCTCAGGACCTGGGGCTGGAGCTGGCGGAGCTGGTGCCCCGCCTGTTCAGGGTGGCGTCCAAGGACCGCGGGGACCTTCTGGAGGTAAATCTGCAGAATGGTATTTTGTTTGTGAATTCTCGGATCGACCGGGAGGCGCTGTGCGGGAGGAGCGCGGAGTGTAGCATCCACCTGGAGGTAATCGTGGACCGGCCGCTGCAGGTTTTTCACGTGGATGTGAAGGTTAAAGATATTAATGACAACTCACCGGTTTTCAAAGGCTCAGAACAAAGGATATTTATTCCTGAAAACAGACAAGTAGGATCGCGGTTTCCACTAGAGGGCGCTGCGGACGCAGACATTGGAGCTAATTCTCATTTAACTTACACGCTGAGTCCCACTGATTACTTTTCTTTGAAGGTAGAGACGACTGACGAACTCAGTAAATCCCTTTCGCTTGAACTGAGACAATCTTTGGATAGAGAAGAAACACCAGAACTTCAGTTATTATTGACAGCCACTGACGGGGGCAAGCCAGAGCTGGAGGGGACAGTTCGGCTGCAGATTACTGTGCTGGATGTTAATGATAACGCCCCACTGTTTGACCAGGCCGTCTACAGAGCTCAGTTAGTAGAATCTACAGCCAATGGAACATTAGTGACCAAGTTAAATGCCTCTGACGCTGATGAAGGTGTAAACGGGGAAGTTGTGTTTTCCTTTGGCAATGACATTTCTCCTGACATTCAAGAAAAATTCAAAGTGGATTCTATTTCAGGAGAAATTAGAGTGATCGGTGACCTGGATTATGAAAAAATAAAATCCTATGAAATTCAAGTGAAGGCAGTTGATAAAGGGACTCCCCCAATGTCAAATCATTGCAAGGTTTTTGTGAAAGTGCTAGATAAAAATGATAACACCCCAGAGCTGGAGATCACTTCCTTATCTTTGCCCATCAAAGAGGACGCTCCACTTAGCACTGTCATCGCCCTCATCAAGGTGTCCGACCTTGACTCAGGTATCAACGGGCAGGTGACCTGCTCCCTGACGCCACATGTCCCCTTCAAGCTGGTGTCCACCTTCAAGAATTACTATTCGCTCGTGCTGGATAGCGCCCTGGACCGAGAGACCACAGCTGACTATAAGGTGGTTGTGACCGCCCGCGATGGGGGCTCGCCCTCGCTGTGGGCCACAGCCAGCGTGTCCGTGGAGGTGGCTGACGTGAACGACAACGCGCCCACGTTCCCGCAGCCCGAATACACGGTGTTCGTGAAGGAGAACAACCCTCCTGGCGCGCACATCTTCACGGTGTTGGCCATGGATGCGGACACACAGGAGAACGCGCTGGTGTCCTACTCTCTGGTGGAGAGGAGGGTGGGCGAGCGCTTGCTGTCGAGCTTCGTGTCTGTGCACGCGGAGAGCGGCAAGGTGTTCGCGCTGCAGCCTCTGGACCATGAGGAGCTGGAGCTGCTGCAGTTCCAGGTGAGCGCGCGGGATGCTGGTGTGCCTGCCCTGGGCAGCAATGTGACTCTGCAGGTGTTTGTGCTGGACGAGAACGACAATGCGCCCGCGCTGCTGGGGCCTCAGGCGGGCAGAGCAGTGAGCGAACTGGTGTCAAGGTCAGTTGGTTCGGGACATGTGGTGACAAAGGTGCGTGCAGTAGACGCGGACTCTGGCTACAATGCGTGGCTGTCATATGAACTGCAAACTTCGACAGGTGGCTCACGGAGCCCGTTTCGTGTGGGCCTGTACACGGGTGAGATCAGCACGACACGCACCCTAGACGAGGCCGACGCCCCACGACAGCGTCTGTTGGTGCTGGTGAAGGACCATGGCGAGCCGGTGCTGACCGCCACTGCCACCTTATTGGTATCTTTGGTGGAAAGCGGACAGATTCAGAAAGCCTCCTTGCCCATATTAACTGGTGCAGTGGGCCCCCAGGCATCACTGGTGGATGTGAACGTGTATCTGATCATCGCCATCTGCGCGGTGTCCAGCCTGTTGGTGCTCACGCTGCTGCTGTACACAGCACTGCGCTGCTCAGCAACGCCCACCGATGGAGCCTGTGCTCCCGGGAAGCCCATGCTGGTGTGCTCCAGCGCGGTGGGGACCTGGTCATACTCGCAGCAGAGGAGACAGAGAGTGTGCTCTGGAGAGGGTCCGTCCAAAAGCGACCTCATGGCCTTCAGCCCTGGCTTATCTCCAGGTTTGAACATACCGGAAAGGAGTGAACAGGCAGAAGTAAATTCGGATCTTTCTGGTAATGTAAGTTCAAGTTTGAGCTGTGACTTCAACCTCTTTGTAGATTTAACTTTATTTTTTAAAGCATTATTGAAGTGGCATTTAAAATCTATTCAGGATGTTCAATAACATTTAACAAACCATACCTTTACAAATTCTCTAGTATTTCCAGTTGCATAATGCATGGAGCTAGGAAGCAATGTAGATACAAGTTATTGAATTATTTTATTAATATGGTAGAATGCTTTAAAAACATTTCAGAACTATTGGTGCTAATTTTGGGTAGGGGTGGCGTTAGGGATGGAACCAAGGACTTCATAAATGCCAGACAAACATGGTGCTGGTCACGTTTAACACGGGCTCTCGGTTTTTGTGGAGTGTCTCACCCTGCACAAGTTATTGTAGGCAAATTTACAGAAACCATCTGCTTTTTCTCTACACTGCAAATTTTCAAAGTGGCCAATAAAAGATAAATTTAAACACTGTGACTTAAAATATATTTGTTGATACTTTAATTCCCACATCAAAGTATCCAACAAGTTCCTGATGCCATCCCCTGGTTTAAAAGACCGGTGTTACATGAACTTGTGTCTTATGTGATCCAGTCAAGAGGTATTGAGAGCACCTCCCATTTATTTGCCAATGACTCTAAACCCTTTATTTTCTCTTTCTCTTTTACTCCTTCTCATATTTTATTAGGGGAAACTTTTTTCCATTTATAGATGAAATTGTTGAGGCCAGAAAAAAATACCCCAAACTAAATTAAGTATAATTCTAATTTTTAAAAAAATTGTTCTAGTACAGTCCATTGCATTTGAGTAAATATTTCAAGTTGTTTTCAATGGAAGAAATTTGTAGACATTAAATTTTAAACACTGTTTGAAAATCAAAATAGGAGAGACCGAGAAAGGTGGAATAATTTTTCCCAAACAAAACTGCACTATGTATAAATCCCTAATGCTTGACTTTCTAGAAATGAATGTAGAAATTAAAAAAAAGGAAAAGTCTTTATAGCAGTTGTGAATAATGGTCTCTTCAAAGTTTGATTCATAATCATCTTGTTGATCAGTAATGAGTAACATATTAGAACATATTAGATAGTATGTTTTACAGAAATTTTAACAACCCAACTGATATGCTTTTTTTTAAATTATAAAACTGTTGGCTGGTTACTAGCATTTCTTATTGGCTAGCTCTGTCTTAAATATTAACCCATTTCTATCAATCTAAGTGTTTCCACGTGGTCTTATCATATCAGAGAGAGGGTCCAGACCTCTTACTTCTCTCGTGGCCTACATCCTGACTCCTGATATGCTTTTGATATAGTCTCTCTGAGTCATCTAACCATTTATTCAAGAGCTTGTTAAATCTGTGTGTGTTGGGGGGTATATGTGTATGTGTGGGTATGCGCTCCTGTGCATCTTCTTTAATTACTCTGTACCTTATCCTTTTTTGTTTTTTTGAGTCATGTAGTTCATCAGTTTGGCTAGACTGGCTGGGCAAGTGGACACTGGGGATCTGAACTTAGGTCCTCATGCTTGCACAGCAAGGACTTTATCCACTGAGCTACCTCCATAGCCTTTAATATCTTGCTTTATTTCTTACATTCAATTCTGAAGTTACACAAGTATGATGTGAATGCACCTTATTGAAACATTCAAATATACATACAAAAAGTCCCTTAAAATTCCTTTTGTAAAAGGAAAGCACCAATAGATATGCAAACTTGGAAGAAAGGAAGCTCAGGAAGTCCCAGCCCTAGACAAAGAACTACAGGAAACTAAGGAATTCTGAGAACAAGAGAAATAGTCTTCCCCGGGGAAGAGCGCACCAACTGGCTATCCAATACTAAATGCTCAGACTTGAAAACATTATACAGACTGAGCAGGTTGTATTGAGGTATCACACATGCACATGTGCATAAACAATAAGAAAAATAATCCATAAATTTGAAAAAGAACAAGGGAGGGTACATAGGAGGATTTAGATGGAGGAAAGGGAAGAGGGACATTATGTGATTATATTAAAACTTCAACAAACCCTTGTAAAACTTTCTACAAAAAAATGACAGCTGAACTGCCTGAGGTTGGGGTGATAGGTTGGCAGATGTATTGTTTAGAGCATTGCAAGGCATAGGCCAAAGCATGGCTCTGAAACTTTCCAAATGTTAATATTATTACACCCAGTCTTTAGGCAAGAATAATTTTTGTAATAACAATGCAAAAACCCTTCCAAATTTCTCTATATGTGACATAAATATTGTAGAAGTATACAGTTGGAGAAAATTGATTCAGAAATCACAAATAAAATTTTCTTCCCCACTTACATTATTGTATCTCCATAACTATATCATTAGCAACATGTAAACATTGTCTTTAGAGGGACATTCAGTATTTATTACCATTCACTCTATAAGCACATATTAACAGCCTACCATATGAAAAGCCCAGTAAAAAAGTCCCTATGAACACAGCATGTTGGATTTGGTGTAATGTACCCTTTTCAGGTTTGTTAAATCATCACATCCACAAAAGAAAATATCATCTTGTATATGACTTTAAAGAGAGAGAGAGAGAGAGAGAGAGAGAGAGAGAGACGAAGGAAGGAAACATGTTGGGTTTGGTGTAATGCACCCTTTTCAGTTTTCTTTGTCAAACCGTCATGTCCATGAAAGAAAATATTGTCCTACTGTATGTGACTTAAAAGATAAGAGATGTGATGCTGATCCTGCTTAACAAATTTTCTAGAAACAAAACAGTGGAAAGGGGACCATTGCTTATTTATGCAAATCATTTTTAGAAAACTATGATTCGCCTGGCAGGAATGAAAGAGTAAAACTAAAGCAAGACTATGGAAAAATGCTCTGAATGGGCAATTAAAATGATAAAACTTCCAGGCAGTGGTGGCATTCACCTTTAATCCCAGCACTTGGAAGGCTGTGGCAGGTGGATCTCAGAGTTTGAGGCCAGTCTGGTCTACAGGGCATATTCCAGGACAGCTAGGGATACACAGAGAAACCCTGTTAAAAATGATTTTAAAATTGAGAGTTATAGAGAGAATGTTTTGAGGCTAACCTGAAAAATTGTAAGTTGAAGATAAACATTGTCTTTTACTTAAGTTAGAAAAACTTGAATTGGTTGGCATTTGAGGCTACAATGACTTTACTCATTATATTAAAAAGTTTATGTAGATTGTGGGCTAGAGAGATGGCTCAGTGGTTAGGAGTTCTTGCTGTTTTTCCAGAAGACCAAGGTTTGAGTCCCAGCACCTATATGGTGGTTCAAAATCATTTGTAACTCTAGTTCCAGGGATCTGATGTTCTCTTCTGGATTGTGAGTACCAGGCATGCACAAACACACACAGGCAAAACACTTACACACAAAAAAATAAAATTAAATAAAGGAATTAGTAGAGATTGAAAATGTAGTTATCTCAGAGTGCTGAAATATTAATCATAAAATTATGAATAGAACCCAATATTTTTGATAATGCCAGTATCCTTTAAAATTTGTCTGTAAGAGCCCAGCATACTTGTCCTTGGGTGGTGGGAGCAAGAGGATCTGAATTTAAAGTCCATTGTCTGCTACAGAACAAGTTTGAGGCTAGCCTGAGCTATAAGTGACAATTGCTGTAACAACCAAATGAAGAAACAAGACCCAATAATAACAATAATAAACCCCATGAAAACAAACTTGACCTTAATATGTTTGGATATGTCTTCATACAACTACATGGTCACAAAGTTTAAGATGATTACATTGTAGATTTAACATTGGGGTGACAATTGTTTCTGTGTTATAATTATTTTTATAAAGCTTAAACATTTTCTGGAATAGCTAATTGTATTAACTTGGGGATAAATCTCGAGTATTAGTCACTATTATAAAAAGGCATGGGTTTAAGATTACAAAGTTTGAAAAGTGACTGTAGTTTATGGGATGCTATTATAGAAAGAACACACACACACACACACACACACACACACACACACACACACACACACGTGACCTGACCCACGGGGCAGTCAACGACAAACCGGGGAATACCTAGAGGAAAATGTGGGGCAAGGGACACGAGGAATGGACAGCAAGACAATATTCTGATCAAGCTGACAAATTTTATTTTCTCAGGGGAGGCTTATATAGGACCATGGGCAGGATGTGAGCAGGGTTTGCACATAACCAGGGCATGGGCACTGGCATGTAGACAGAGTGAGAAGGTCAGTAGAAGGAATGCCCTAAGTTGTTTAGCTAACCTGTAATTGGCTGTTAACTGCAGCAGGAGAGAGAGCCCTGAGCTATTCTTTAGCTGGTTGTGAAACTGCAAGCCTGTACCTTGGAATGTTCTGCTGAACATCTTGTTTATTTTTTGAGAGGCAGTAATTTTCTATCTCAGAGACCTGAGGTTGTGAGATGGTGATGGTCCCCAACACACACACACACACACACACACACACACACACACACACACACACACACATATGTGTGTGTGTATGGAATATTGTGATTTAATATTAACATAAACATATATGGAATTTCCATTGATAGCTGATAGTCTTATACTACTCAACATATTTCAATAGTTTTTTCATTCTTTCACAGCATTTTAGTGAAATGCATTATTTCACCTCTTATTCCTTTTATTTTTCCAAATATTTCATTGTGTATATTCATAGTACATAGTACTGTTTTCTGGAGGGTATAAGTATATAATGTATAAATTGTATAAGTATATAATGCTTGTTGAGCATATTTCCCCACACTCTGTCTTCCTCACTGTTCTTCCTCATTCCATTAGTCCTCTTTGTCCCTCTAGACACTTTTGTTTCTGCTTTCATCAATATATGATATATGTGTTATATATTACACATGTGTGTATTTATATCCAGTTTTATCTATCTATATAAAACCTAGTAACCACAACTGAGAGAACACATGGGATATTTTTATTTCTGAACATAATTTTTCTTTAGTTATCTCCAGTTGCATTTATTTTACTGTAAGAATGAATAAGTGGAATATTGTTGTTGTTAGTAGTAGCAGTTTTTAAAGACAGGGTTTCTCTGTTTAGTTTTGGCTGTGCTGGAACTCTCTTCACAGACCAGGCTGGCCTCACACTCAAAAATTCACCTGCCTCTGTCTCCAAAGTACTGGAATTAGAGGCATGCACCACCATGCCCTGCTCAGATAAAAGTTATTAATGATTATAACTCCAGGAAAATCTATTTTTTCATTGCCATTTTTAATGGACACTGTAAATTTTGCAGTTCATTTTATTTTCTTCCAAGAAAGATAAAAGCAAATTGCTTGACATACATAAAATAACAAGTGTGTAGCTTGGGAGCTGGAGAAATGGCTCAGAGGTTAAGAGCACTGGCTGTTCTTCCAGAGGTCCTGAGTTCAATTCCCAGAAACCACATGGTGGCTCACAAGTGTGTAACTTGATTATGCATTTTGCCAAGTGACACATTCCTCCACTCATTTCAAATAATTCCTACTCAATCTTTAAGTTTAATATTTTTGTATGTGAAGGAGCCAGCTAAAAATTAATAAATAATGGATACTCTCATGTATTAACACTGAAAAGAAATCAGTTTATTCTTTCTGTAAGAAAATGCAAATATAGTAGAAAAGAGAATAATCCTAAAATAAAATATACTTCTCATACAAGAAGGTAATGTAACCCACAAACAATTCAAAACTCAAAATTATAAATAACAGAAGTGTATGCATATTTTCAACGAACAAATGTACCCATTAATTCTGGTGTGCTCACAATGGAACCATTCAGCATTAAGAAGAAAAGAAATCCTGTAACATGTTACAACACTGATAAGCCTTCAGGATATTGTAGTTGAAAAAAGCCAGTCTCAAAACAAAGAAAACCACCAGATCTTGAAAACAGCCTAGATGCCCCTCAACTGAAGAATGGATAAAGAAAATGTGGTATAGTTACACAATGGAGTACTACTACTACTGCTCAGCAGTAAGAAACTATGACATTCTAAAATTCACAGGCAAATGGACAGAACTAGAAAAAACCATCCTAAGTGAGGTAACTCAAAACCAGAAAGACAAATACAGTATGTACTCTCTCATAAGTGGATACCAGACATAAAGCAAAAGATACCCAGCCTACAATTCATAACCCCCAGAGAAGCTCAAACCTCCTTCCAGATGCAGATGGAAACAGATGCAGAAATCCTCAACTAACCAATGGGCCAAGATCCTGGAGTAGAATGAAGTGCGGAAGGAGCGAGATAATTTGAACAAAGGAGTCAAGACCATGATGGGGAAACCCACAGAATCAGCTGACCTGAGCTAGTGAGAGATCACTGACTCAGGTCTGACAAATGGGAACCTGTATATGACTGAACTAGACTCCCTTAATATAGGTGACAATGGTGTGACTGGGACAACATATGAGGCCACTGGCAGTGGGTCCAAGACCTAACACTAATGCACAAACTGACTTAGTGGAGCCCATTCTATATGGAGAGATACCTTGCTCAGCTTAGACACAAAGCTGTGGTGGTGGAGAGGTGCCTTGATCCTGCCTCAACTAGATGATGGGACGGACTTAGTAGACTTCCTAAGAGAGGCCTTAATCTCTCCGTGGAGCAGATGGGAGGAGCGGTGAAGTGGGGAGAGCAGGAGGAGAGGAGAGAAGGGGAGCCGGGATTGGAATGTAAAAAAATAATAAAAAAGGCATGCGCCACCATCTCCCGGAAACATACAAACAAAAAACCAAAACAAAGACAAAGAACTCAACTCCAGAGCAACAGACTCTAACAAGTCCTGTATAATTTCACTTACAAGGTAGTGAAATGGTGGTTACCATGGACAAGGACGGGGGAATCTGGAAATGCTGTCTAATGGATATAAATTTCCGACTTTACAAGAGTGTAAAGTTTTGGAAGTGTAATTATACTTAACACTACTGAAGCTTACACTTGAAGTTAATACGGTAAACCTCTCATTTACAGTTAATACGGTAAAGTTCGAATCAGATTGGCCACAGGGTGTCGCTGTTCACCAGAGAGCATTCTCTAGAAAGGAAAATACCCAGATCCTCTTTGTTACTTCTGATAAAACGTCGGGAGAAGCAGCAGGATTTGAGCAGGTGTTAGACTATTTAATTGTTTTAAAATATGATCATTTGATTTGACCAAATACGGAGGACTAGAAGTGATGCCTTCTTTGAGAGGAGGCCCAGACGTCAGGCAGTGTCTGCTGCTCTTGCTTCCTTTCCTCGCAGCCTGGGAGGCAGGGAGCAGCCAGCTCCACTACTCCGTCCCCGAGGAGGCCAAACACGGCACCTTCGTGGGCCGCATCGCTCAGGATCTGGGGCTGGAGCTGGCGGAGCTGGTGCCCCGCCTGTTCAGGGTGGCGTCCAAGGACCGCGGGGACCTTCTGGAGGTAAATCTGCAGAATGGCATTTTGTTTGTGAATTCTCGGATCGACCGGGAGGCGCTGTGCGGGCGGAGCGCGGAGTGTAGCATCCACCTGGAGGTGATCGTGGACCGGCCGCTGCAGGTTTTCCACGTGGAGGTGGAGGTGAGGGACATTAACGACAACCCGCCAGTGTTTCCAACCACAGAAAAAACTATCCAGTTTTACGAATCGAGGTTGCTTGACTCGCGGTTTCCTTTAGAGGGAGCTTTGGATGCAGATATAGGAGTAAATGCTCTTCTGTCCTACAAGCTCAGTCCCAGTGAATTTTTCTTCCTAGATGTACAAACAAATGATGAACTAAGCCAATCACTGTTTCTTGTGCTGGGAAAATCTCTGGACAGAGAGGAAAATGCTAAGGTGAAATTGTTACTGGTAGCTACGGATGGAGGCAAACCTGAACTCACAGGTACTGTTCAAATATTCATTAAGGTTTTAGATGTGAATGACAATGAGCCTACTTTCTCCCAATCAGTTTACAAAGTGCAATTGTTAGAGAACACTGCAAATGGAACCTTAGTTGTTAAATTAAATGCATCTGATGCAGATGAAGGATCAAACAGTGAGATTGTGTATTCACTCAGTAGTGATGTATCTTCGACCACGCGGACAAAGTTCCAAATAGACCCCATCTTAGGAGAAATCAGAACTAAGGGGGAATTAGATTATGAAGAAAGGACATCCTATGAAATTCAGGTCATGGCGTCTGACAAGGGTAGCCCATCAATGTCAGGACATTGCAAAATTTCGGTAAAACTTGTGGATATCAATGATAATGCTCCAGAAGTCTCAATAACGTCTCTCTCACTACCTGTCCAAGAGAATGCTCTACTGGGCGCTGTTATCGCCCTCGTCTCAGTGTCAGATCGTGACTCAGGAATCAACGGGCAGGTGACCTGCTCCCTGACGCCACATGTCCCCTTCAAGCTGGTGTCCACCTTCAAGAATTACTATTCTCTCGTGCTGGACAGCGCCCTGGACCGAGAGACCACAGCTGGCTATAACGTGGTTGTGACAGCCCGCGATGGGGGCTCGCCCTCGCTGTGGGCCACAGCCAGCGTGTCCGTGGAGGTGGCTGACGTGAACGACAACGCGCCCGCGTTCGCGCAGCCTGAATACACGGTGTTCGTGAAGGAGAACAACCCGCCTGGCGCGCACATCTTCACAGTGTCGGCCATGGACGCGGACGCGCAGGAGAACGCGCTGGTGTCCTACTCTCTGGTGGAGAGGAGGGTGGGCGAGCGCTTGCTGTCGAGCTTCGTGTCTGTGCACGCGGAGAGCGGCAAGGTGTTCGCGCTGCAGCCTCTGGACCATGAGGAGCTGGAGCTGCTGCAGTTCCAGGTGAGCGCGCGGGATGCTGGTGTGCCTGCCCTGAGCAGCAATGTGACTCTGCAGGTGTTTGTGCTGGACGAGAACGACAACGCGCCCACGCTGCTGCCCCACGGAGCTGTGGGAGCGGGAGGGGCTGTGAGCCAATTTGTGTCTAGGTCAGTGGGTTCAGGGCATGTAGTGGCCAAGGTGCGCGCAGTGGATGCCGACTCTGGTTACAATGCTTGGCTGTCTTATGAACTGCAGTCGTTGGCCAGCAATTCCCGTAGCCTGTTCCGCGTGGGTCTGTATACGGGCGAGATCAGTATCACACGATCCCTGGATGAAGCAGATGCGGCGTACCAGCCCCTAATGGTGCTGGTGAGGGATCATGGTGAGCCTGCGCTGACTGCCACAGCCACAGTGCTAGTTTCTCTGGTGGAAAACAGCCAAGCTCCAAAAGCCTCATCAAAAACATTGGTAGGTGCCATTGGCCGAGAGACATCGCTTGTGGATGTCAACGTGTACCTGATCATTGCCATCTGTGCAGTGTCCAGCCTGTTAGTACTTGCGTTGCTGTTGTACACAGCGCTGCATTGCTCGGCAACGCCCACCGATGCAGCCTGTACTACTGGGAAGCCCGTGCTGGTGTGCTCCAGCGCGGTGGGGACCTGGTCATACTCGCAGCAGAGGCGGCAGAGGGTGTGCTCTGGCGAGGGTCCGCCCAAGACAGACCTCATGGCCTTCAGCCCCAGCCTATCCCAAGGTCCGGAATCAGCAGAGGAGAGACAGCTGCCCTTAGACTCAGAATACGTAGCAAAGGTAGGCTTCAAATTTTTTCTTGCTAAGAACATCACTATTCCTGTATTGCTTATGATTCCTGTTCATTAGACCTAAAGCTCTACCTTTATTTTATATCATTGTGTTGCCTGTCATGAGATACTTGTGAGCTGGGTATCAATTTCCTGCCCATAGAACAATTCTAAATGTTCTTACTGGAACCAAATCATAATAATTCAACATTACTCCTAAATGTTTTCAAAAACTTAAAAGGCCCAAATTAGAAAACTCAAAGGATTTTAAAATTTAGGACAACTATAAACATAGAATTCTACCCATCTAATCAGAGTCTGTTTAGAGTAATATAATCTTTACTCTGGAAATGTTCCAAATTTGCTCTTTGAACCTTTAATGCCAGGCCTCTAAAAGTATTTATCATTGGCCATTACAATACACGTTAGCATTTAGGAATACTGGGTAGTCTCTTTGTCCTTAATGTGAAAAATGACCGAAACTGGGAGATAAAGATTTAATTACAGTAAAATCTTTGGGTTTTCAGGCAAAAGAGAGAGTTCACTGAGGGAAGAGTCCTTCAGATTTTAACATTTAAAGAATAAATTGGATCCAGGTAGTGGTGGCACATGCCTTTAATCCCAGCCAGCACTTGGGGGTTAAAGGCAGTTAGATTTCTGTATGTTGAGGCCAGTCTGGTCTACAGAGCTAGTTTCAGGACAGCTAGGGTTGCTACACAGAGAAACTCTGTCTCAAAAAAGTAAAGAAAAACAAGAACAAAAAGATTACATTGGGCTGGGTGTGGTGGTGTACACCTTTAATCCTAGCCTTTAACCAGGAGGGAGAGACAGGTGGATCTCTGTGACTTCAAGGCCATCCTGGTCTACAGAGTGAGTTCCAGGACAGCCAGGGCTACTCAAAAAAGTGAAAGGGAAAAAAAGAAAAGAAAGAAAAAGAAAATAAACATTACATTGGACTGGGTGTGGTGGTACATGCTTTTAATCATGACATTTAGGAAGCAGAGGTTGATGGATCACTGAGTTCCAGTCTAGCCTGACCTACACAGCAGGTTCCATGCCAACAGGACTGAATAGTCAGACCTTGCCTGAAGAGAAATTGGGTTGGCCAAGCATCCAGATCTTTCCCTTTTCTTTGTATTTGTGAAGAGTATTGTGTGTGACTTAGTCGTCATACTAGTTCTTAAGGGTCATCATCCCAGTGTCATTAGGCTAATTCATGCAGAGTTCCTTCTGTGAAGGAGCTGACCACCTCTTACTCTACCCTGCTTACACACTTCCCATCACACTGAGCTTACCCTCTTATCTTATTTTCAAGTATGTTCCTTGTGGAACTGAACTTTCCCCCAGGCATGGCTTGGGTGGCTGCATTTTCAGTGGAAACTCCTGCAGTGGTGTTTAAAACACTGGGCATGACCAGCAAGTGATACATTTGTGAAGGATTTTTATTTTTTGGCTTTAGTTTTTTTCCAACCAAAGGAAGATATGTTTGAGTGAGTTAACAGTCTAAAACAGTTTCCTGACATCTAATTATTTACTGTCTTTCAGTGGATTCGAGTGCATACTGATGAACTGAATACATGACTTCCACTACGTGGTCTTAGCCTTAGCTATTGACTATACTATCCATTTCAGTCTGGGAATTGCTTTTATTGGAGTTGGCAATTTGGTTGGTGTACTTTTAGGAGACTCCATTCTTATAGGAAACCTATCATCTTCTCAGAGTTGATAAGTCTTAAAATAAAAAGTACATATTTCCTGAAAATGAGAAAAGTTCATCTGAGGCTTTACAGAGGATAAAATGGCTTGAAAATGAGGAATATCCTTTCTTTGAAGAAAAAAGTACAACCCTTCAATTTAGAGTACATAGCTATTCACCACCATGAAGGCTGGTTGGCAGACTGTCTGGATGGTCAGATGGAGTCTATCATACTCAAAGCTTGGCCACAGTGCTTTTACTATTGCTAAGTGATGAGCTTTTAAAATTATATTGAAATGTTCCCAGATTTCCAAGAGCCATAATCTGTTCCCAGATAAATTCTTATGGTTTCTTAGTCTGATGTACATTTTTCTTGCCCTAAGTGATAGAACAACATATTCATTGGTGCTCAACCTCACACTGGTCTATCTTTTAAACTCAATATTCCTTCAATGCTACCTTTATTTGTAGATAGTCTACCAAAGTCTAACTGTTATCAATTCATACATAACATCAAATTTCTCAATAGTATACTCCTTGAATACAAACATACATAAGTCTTCAAAATCATCTCATAAGTTTTAAGTCCACAATGTCTTAAATTTTCTATTTCATTTTCAAATCAGCCTTCTAAGATAGATCATCCAAACACTAATGGACATCATGATATCTATGACTGAGTTTTAGAAACATACCTTTCAGAAATAATATAAAGTCCTAGTTAGTTGGCAGTTAAGATCCCTTGCTGCTCTTACAGAGGATCTGAGTTTGGTTCCCATCAGCCACATGGTGGCTCACAATAGTCTTTAATGGGATCTTATGCCTTCTTCTATCATGCAGGCATACATGCAATTCGAGCACTCATATACATAGAACACATTAAAAAGAACATTTCATTACCTAGTCTTATATATGTTGCCTTGTGACTCATGTTCCAAAGTTGTTTTTCTCTTTGTAATTTTTTTAGGTTGACAATGTATTCAATCTTTCTCTCTTTTAACACTTATTTGTTTTGTGTGGCTTTGCATGTGTGATTGTGCATGCATCTCATAATGTGATTGTGCACGTTAGAAGACAATTTTCAGGAGTCATTGGGTCACAGGGATTGAACTGATGTAGGCAGGCTTGACAGCATGTGATTTTACCCACTGAACCATCTCTCAGGTCCTGTTTGTTTGGGTTGGGTCTTGATTTTAGGCTGATCTTCAGCTCACAATCTTTCTGCCTAAGTCCTAAGG